GGGCATTGGAACGAAACATCCGCCCAAGTGTGGCCTTGACCGCGCAGAAAGTCTGGAGGGTGTGAAGAGGAGGGGCGGCTAGATAGATAGGAAAGAGGGAAAGAATTCGCGCATCCCCACGACCAAAAGCAAGCTCTTGGGGAACCACCTCAGCCCAGGAACTGGGATTCCCAAGCCTCTGGGGCCTCAAGAGGGCCCGAGATCGCCCAAGTTGGCTTCAAGACGGGCAAACATGGCCTAAATATGGCCCAAGAGGGCCTCAAAATGGCACAACGTGGCCGAAGATGGGCCCACGACGCCCCAAGATGGGCTCAAGAGGGCCCAAGATCGCCCCAACGCGGCCCAGGAGGCCCCCAAGACCGCCCAAGATGGCTCCAAGAGACTCTCCACGACAGCCTGCAGAAGAAACACCCATTGATTATATCTGATATGCTTTCAAGGATCCCGGCCCTCTCGCCCGCTCTGGCTTCTCACAGCCCAAGGCGGGCCGAGCGAGACAGCCCAAGAGGCTTCAGAGAGGGCCTCAAAAGGGCCCCAGAAAGCTCCAGTACGGCCCAAGAGACCTCAAAGACGGCTCTGCGGTGCCCGAGCAAGGCCCCAAGACGGCCTGGAGAGGTCGCCGTGGCCCAAGACTGCCTCCGAAGGCGTCCGACGGCCCAACAGCGCCCTGAGACGGCCCAGGACGGCCACGATAGGCCCGATGAGGTCCCCAACAACCCCCCAAAATGCCCACGAGAGGTCCCCAAGAGACCCCCGGGAGCCCCAGAGGCCGCCTCCTCCTCCTCCTCCTCCTCCTCCTCCTCCTCCTCCTCCTCCTCCTCCTCTCCTCCTCCTCCTCCTCCCCCTCCTCCTCCTCCCCCTCCTCCTCCTCCTCCTCCTCCTCCTCATCCTCCTCCTCCTCCTCCTCCTCCTCTTCCCTCCTCCTCCTCCTCCTCCTCCTCCTCCTCCTCCTCCTCCTCCTCCTCCTCCTCTTCCTCCTCTTCCTCCTCATTCCTCTCATCCCCTCTCCCTGGTCCTCCCCGTGACGGGCCCGCGACATGTCAAAATGTCACATTTGCGGGCTCGTTTCTCAAGGGGGGGGGCCGCCGTGGCTCCCCCTCTGAGGGCTCATGAGGCCGGCCCCTGGCGCGCGAGCGAAGCTGGGGGCAAGGGGGGCCTCTGCCGTGTGAAACAGCGAGAGGGTGCAGCAGGAAGAAAATCCGCTGGCCACCTTGGGGACCAACAGGCTGCGCGGCTGAGGCTTTCTGGCGCCCTGCACCAGTTCCAGTTTCCAGTCTCTAATGTTATAGTTGTAGTTTCTGCTTCCTACTGTAAGTAAGTTGTCACTGTCTGCGCGAGGGGGGCGAAAACCACCCTGGGCCCCTTCCCTGAATTGCGTGCTCTGGATTTCTGGAAACCCTGGGACACCTGAAAATAACACGAGGCTCGCGCCTCCAAGGGCGATCCCTCGTGAATTACATCGCATTCGCGCCCCCGACGCCACGATCCCTTGCAAATTGCAAGGGATTCGCGCTCATGAGGCCACAACCCCCATTAAATTACCTCGGATTCGCGACCCCAATGCCACCCTCCCTCGTAAATTACTGCGGATTCGCCCTCCCGAGGCCACAGCCCCTCGAACACTTCTACAGGCTCGCGCCACCGAGGTCGGACCCCCTCGTAGATTACGCCACAGTCGCGCCCCCGAGGCCAGAGGCACTGGTAAGTTACAGCAGATTCGCGCCACTGGAGCCACAACCCCCTGTAAATTACAACTCGCTCGCGCCGCGAGCTTCACGCTTCCGAAGCCACAACCCACTGTAAGTTACATCGCACTCGCGCCCCCGAGGCCAGTCCCTCGTAAATAACAACCGATTCGCGCTCCCGACGACACAATGCTTCGTAAATTACACCACTTGCACGCTCCCGAAACCACACCGTTGTGCAAATTACCCCAGATTCGCGCCCCCGAGGCGCCAATCCCCCGTAAAGTACGTTACGCTCGTGCTCCCGATGCCAGGATCCGTCGTAAATCGCGACGCCTTCGCGCTCCCGAGGCCACACTCCCTCGTAAAGTACGACAGGGTGGCGCTCCCGAGGCCACCACCCCTTCGTACATCACAACAGGTTCGCGCTCCCGAAACCAAAACGCCTTTGTAAATTTCGACAAATTCGCGCCCCCAGGCCACATCCCCTTGTAAGTTGCGTCACATTCGCACCGCCGAAGCCACAATCCCTCGTAAATTGCAACGAACTTGCGCCCCCGAGGCTACGAACTCACCCCGCGGAGGCTGCCCAAAAGCGCCACCCCCTCTCCAGAGCAGAAAAACAATAGGCTTCTGCATTGGGATGCGTGCTCGGGGGGTGCTGTTCAGCCCCCCGCATTTCTTGAAAATTCGGCGGTGGACACGCAGCAACGCATCCGTGAAAATGGACACAGATGCAAGGAACCAAAAGACAGCCCCAACCGCGCGATGTGACCCGAGATGGCCTCAAGCCCCCCCCCCTCGTTCCAAGAGGACTTCCACAGCAGAACGCGAGGAAGATGCTCTGACAAAGAACTCCACCATCTCACTACGTTTCGCTGATTGCTATCCGTCCTCGCAAGATGTTCCCACATGTCTTCAAGACGGCGCCCAGACATACCGATGTAGCTCTGACAAGTCCTGTTATGATAGAGGGGGGGGGGCCAGCGTAGCGGCAAAGCGAGGCCCTTACGGATATATCGTTATGTATCCGACGGGTGGACCGGACACTTGGCCCGCGTATCCCCGCCAGGTCCTCCTCTGCCCCTGCGCCTTCTCGCTAGCCCAGCTCCTGTAGCGGGCCGCCCTGGGCCCGGATGATTCCTCGGAGCTTCCTCGCGCGGCGCCAAGACGGTGCTCCGACGGCCTCCGGAAGCCCCGAGACGGCTTCACGACGGCCCCGAAAAAAGCCGCCAACACGCCGCCTGGAGACTCCGATGACGGCCCAAACGCCCCAAACACTGCTGTTCAGAACCCCAAGGCGCCCATGGAGCTTCCCGAGACTGCCGCACGCGGCGCCCATAGGATCCCCAAGAGGCGTCTTAGAGCTCAGCATGCATACTTTGTTTCCCCACATCCTGGGTGGGAGTCTCGCTTTCCCCAAGAATCCTCTCCTCCTCTCCTCCTCCTGATGCATGCGCTTCCCATTCCACCAGTCCGAGGTCCGACAGTGCCGTTTGACCCTCCAGGGAAGCCCCGCCAGACGGCGGCAGGCACTCGCGAACCGCATTATTTATCTGATTTCGTGTCCTTCCCGCTCCACCAGCTCCGCCAGTGCCTTTTGACCCTCCAGGGAGGCCCCGCCAGACCGCGGCAGGCATTCGCAAACCGAGTTATTTATAAGGTTTCGTGCCATTCCCACTCCGACAGTCCCACCAGCGCCGTCTGACCCTCCAAGGAGGCTCCGTCAGACCGCGGCAGGCTTCGCAACCCGTTGAAGCTTCTGACCCGCGGCCCTGGCAAGATGGCGGAATGGGCCGAAAGCCACTAGATAGCCAAATGCAAGCAATGCCAAAACGTCCGGCTGGCGGAGTGGCCGAAGCCATCCGCCGCCCAACCGGGCACGGCGTGTGAGATCCCACCGCGTGGTCTGCAGGAAAGACTTTCCCGCAATCCTCTCACCTACGCGCTCCTCGCATTTACCCCTGCCTCAGAGCCCCAACCACCCCTCCTGGGGTTCTTCCCGTGGCCTGCTCATTCCGCCGGCCCGAGGGTCCTGGCTGCGGACTGGGCGTCCGCTTGCCGCCACTTTCACCCGAAGTCAAGCACGCCGTCGCACGGGAGACTTCCAGACGTCTTCGGACGCCGCCTGGGACCTTTCCAGAAGACGTCCTGGGCTGTCTTGGAGGCATATCTGGGCCCTCTTGGGCTTGTTTGGCCCATTGTTGGGGCCCTCTGGGGCCGTCTCAGACCCTTGTGAGGCCCTCTTCGAGCAATGTTGAGCTGAAAACAAGAAGAACCGAACAACCTCAAAAACAAAATGAGTTTCACAAGTTTGGCCTGCTCGGGCTTTTAATTGCACCTCTTCAACTATCTTGGAGCTTGGAGCCTCTTGTGACACTCATGGCACCTCTCTGGCCAATTTGGGATACCTTGGAGGCCTCCTAGGCCATCGTGGAAAGCTTATTGGATCCATGTTGGGCTGTCTGGCTGCCCTGTTGGCGCCCTACTGAACCGTCTTCGACGTCCCCAGGGGTCCCCTGGAGGCGTTTCTGAAGCCCCCAAAGGACTGCTCCCTTTCAGCCCTCCGTATCCCTCTTCGGTTTCGCCCGCCGTTTCCGACACCTTTGGGTACCCGTTTAGGTTGTTTCGAGGCCTACAGGGGGCCCTCCTGGGAAGTTTATGGCAGTTATATGGGCCCTCTGGGGTTGTCTTGGACCTCATCTCACGCCCCGCGGCATCTGCGCTGCCCTCCTCTTCCTCCAGCAGGCCTCCCAAAGTCTGTTCGCGGTCCTGGCCACAAGGGGGAAATTAATCATGCCCCCTACAGGCCCTCTTAACTGCCCTAGATGCCGCCACGGCGCCACGGAACGGCACCCAGACTCCCGACAGGCCCTGAATACACCACCGTAAGCCCTCCACTTGCCCCCCCACCCCCACCTAACAAACCCATGGGGCCCTCAAGAGGCCCCCCGAAACCCTCCGAGAGCTGACCGAAAAACCTCCGACCACGCGCAAGGCCAATGCGGAGCACCCAACCTGCCCCCAATCAGGACGAATCAGAACCTGCCGCCAGGCAACTCTCAACCCCCACGCGGGTCGAACTCCCAGGGAGCGGCCAGCGATGCGCCGCCAGCGTCGCCCTCGAAGCAACCGCACTCCCAAAGAAGTGGGGCGGCTGTGCCCGCCCCCTCAAGGGCCTTCCATGACTTTCACAACGGGGAAAATGCCCTAATTGCCCCCGCCCGAGAATACACCCCGCCCGCCAACTCAGAAAGCATCCGAAACGTTTCCGCGGCCACGTGGAAGCAGGGGCCATGTTGCAGACCGGCTCTCCGCGCGGAATCTGGATCAGCACGGCGTTGCCGGGCCTCATCAGGTCGAACCTGAGGGGGCGGCGAAAAGGGGCGGGGGGCACTGGCTCGGGAGGGGGACAGACATATCGCCGATACATCGGCGATCGGCCTGCGATGGCGAGACCGCGCGTTCCTGGGCGGGGCTGGGCACCGGAGCCCCGACCGGCGATGCATGGGCGACTTGGGGGGTCGATGTCCCCCCTCCCCCAGGCCTGCCCCCGTCAGCGTCCCCTGGGAACCGCTCGCCGTGGATGTTCTGGAGATGCGGGTCGCCCGTCGCCGATGCCGCTGGGGC